GCAGGATGCCAGATGAGATCCAGCCCCCAATGGGGGAGAATGACCTGGATTCAGCCCGGCATCATACCCAGGGTTGTCTGCATACCCTGAAGCACCAGTGCCAGCCACATGATGAGATGATCTGAGAAGGATAAACATGAAAGAGATTACCATCGGAGTAAGGCATGACAAATCCCAACTACCGAAGTGGGAGCAGGGACATCGTGGCAGAATAGACATGAGATGGTGAGGAAATTGGAGGTGGAGGCAGAGGTGAGACAGGAGATTCCCATGTTTCTGGCTTGATTCACTGTTCATGAAACTGAAAGGAGATTCGGAAAACAGGATGAAGAGATGGTTGCAGACGTGTTAGCCTACAGGATTCTCAGTGAAGCAGCTCAACAATTATTTGGAGAAACAGAATAAAGACCACTGAGTTCAAAACTTGAAACAAATAAAGAATTCCTTTATTTGAACTGCAAAAATGTCTACACAATAAACCAGCCCAGAAGTCAGTGCCAGAAGTCTGAAACTTGGCATTGGGTGTCATACTTGCGGATCTGTGGGTGACTGCATGTGGCCTGCCTACTTCTGTCTCTGACTTGGATCATCAGGCTTGGCTCTAGGCAGAGTGCAGGTCTGTTTCATGCAGCTCTCAACCTCTGATTCAGTGGCTACTCTGAATGTTTTTGAGATGACTGGCAAGAGTTATGAAAATGCAGTGCCTGCAGACTCACCCACTGTGGCTTCTGCCCACCTTAAGGAAAATGGTCACGTGGATGGCGGAAGCCATGCTACCAACTGTCAGCACGACTGGAAATATGCTTCACCGTGTCATGCACTGCAAGGTCACCTGCAGGAGGGAATGAGAAACTGAAGACAATATCCAATCATCCAGGCCAGTGGGCTGTTTCCCGTTACATCATCAGCTCTCTTTTGCCACTCTGTTTCCAGTCACTGGGTCACTCCAGCCTCAGATTCCCTCCTGGTCATCTGACTTATGGTATAATGCAATGATCATGATTCAGCTGGGCAGCCTTGGCCTGTACGACTTTTGAGAATTCTGTTCCCAGTTCTTCCTTACTAGGTGTGTGGCCCAGGAGGGTCAAGCTGCATCTGAGACTACATTGTCTGCCCAAAGCTATCTTCTAGGATTGTCATAAAAATTAAATAGGCCAGGGGCTGGGGTTGTGGCTCAGCAGTAGAGCGCTCACCTCGCACGTGCAAGACCCTGGGTTCGATCCTCAGCACCACATAAAAAAATAATAAGTGAAATAAAGGTGTTGTGTCCAACTACAACTAAAAAATAAATATTAAAAAAATTAAATAGGCCAAGTGCAGTGGCACATGCCTATAATCCCAGCAGCTCAGGAGACTGAAGCAGGAGTATCTTAAGACTGTCTTAAAATAGAAAATTTTTAAAAAGGCTGGGAATGTGGCTTAGTGGTTAAATGCCCCTGGGTTTAATTCCTGATACCAAAAAAAAAGAAAGAAATATTTTGTTCTTCAGTCTTATTGATTCCAATTCACTCAAAGGATATTGTTTCAGATTCCTCAGACAATTCTAAGGCAGCATCCTTGGTCTGTACCATGATATTTAGCTCTTACTTGAACAGGTCACTCTTTCACATGTTAAAACACTTACAGGAGCTGGGCATGGCTCACCTGTAATCCCAGTAACTCAGAAGGCTGAGGCAGGAGGATTACAAGTTTGAGGCCAGCCTAGCAATTTCGTGAGTTCCTGTCTCAAAAAAAAAAAAGGAAAAAGGAAAAAGAAAAAGGGCTGGGAATGCGGCTCAGTGGTTAAGCACTCCTGGGTTCAATCTCCAGTACCAAAAAATAAAAACAAAAACTTGCAGGTGAGTCCTGCTTTTCATCATTTTTTCCATTTTTCTTGTTACTGGGGATTGAATGCAGGAGCACTTTACTACTGAGCTACATCTCAGCTCTTTTTATTTTTTTTATTTTGAGTCAGGGTGTCCTTAGTTGCTTAAGGTCCAGCTTGGTTACTGAGGCTGGCCTTGAACTTGGAATCCTCCTGCTTCAACCTCCTAAGTCACTGGTATTATAGGCATGAGTCACTAAGCCTGGGTCATTATTTCTCAAAAGTACATTGAGAATATTCTTTTCTAAGCCTCACTTTCCTTGGTGAAGTAGGGACACTGTCACTTACAAGCCTTGGGCTTAGTTCTGGCACACAGCCTGGCCAGGAAGCACACTGTACTATCATTTTGCTTGATCCAGACTCTAATAGCTGCATGACACCCAGCAGGGCAGCTACAAGTGCACTGTGGTTGCGGCAGGGAAGGTGGGGATAGTGAAAAGGCACTCGCTGCTTCTCTTCCCACAGGTATGAGCAAGAACATACATCCCCCATTTTCCACACAAACATGGACTCAGATATACATGAGCGGTGGGTCATGTCACATTGGTACTGTGAATCAACAGCAGGCAGGTTGTCAAGTGTAGGACAGCAATAATAACTACAGAAAGAGGGTGGAGGTGCTCCTATCCCACTCACAGCAGCACTGCAAGGAGTATCAAATTAATGCCTGCATCTTCTTACCTCAGTTTCTAAATTATTTTTGTTTTTGTTTTTGGTACCAGGGATGGAACCCAGGGGTTCTTAACCACTGAGCCATATCCCCAGTCCTATTTAAAAAATATATATTATTTTTTAGTTGTAGTTGGACACAATACCTTTATTTATTTTTTTGTGGTGCTGAGGATCGAACCAAGGGCCTCGCACATGCTAGGTGAGCGCTCTACTGCTGAGCCACAACTCCAGCCCTCCCCAGCCCTTTTTATGTTTTATTTAGAGACAGGGTTTCACTAAGTTGCTTAGGTTCTCGCTAAGTTGCTGAGGCTGGCTTTGAACTTGTGATTCTCCCGCCTCAGCCTCCCAAGCCACTGGGATTACAGGTGTGCATCACCATGCCTGGCTTCAAATTCTTTCTTACACTTTGGTTTCACAGGTACAAATAGTTTTATATACATCATTTACACTTTGAGATTACAAATACTTACACTGTACCAAGTTAATGTGGTGGAAGAACATTTCACAATTGGACAAAGCATGAGGAAGTGTTTATTCATTTTCACACCTAATAACATAATAGAAAACACTGATTGAAACCCAGCTGGCTAGAAATATAGCACACAGTGTTGATACTGTGTTCACAAAAGGCAGAAGTGTTCTGATCCTGTGTGTCTAATATCACCAAGGCTCTAAAGTCAGGTTCCATTTAATGAAGTGACTAGAATGCCTTCAGAATGGACATGCTAACTCTGCAGGAACAGAAGGGGCCTGAGCCAAACTGCACACTTTCAAACACAAGGAATGAGTCACAGTAAATTACAATAATTACAATGCTGTTTTTTACATCCCAAGAATCGTGCTCCAAGCTCCAGTTCTTAGTGTGCAAAGGAAATCCTGGCATGTATCTTTTGAAACAGAATTATAGTACTTTTCCTGCATGCACAAGACCCCAGGTTCAATAGCCAAACACACACACACACACACATATTAGGTGCATCCAAATTTCTTAAGAAAAATTATCCATATCCATGCACCATGGCACACACCTGTAATCCCAGCAATATGGGAGGCTGAAGCAAGATATCAAACGTTCAAGACCAACTTGAGCAATTTAGCAAGGCCCTAGGCTACTTAGCAAGACCCTGGGGATGTAAGTAAAGTACACCTGGAGTCAATCTCCATATATATATCCATAAAAAATGGTTATGAGAGAACACAGAAGACTCAACATCTACAATGAAAGAAAACCAATTTGGACTTTGCATTTTAAGGTGCAGAACCAATAATGGTGATGGGGGAGGGAAGTAGGAATGGTCTATTCAGCTCTGCACTACGTACTGCATGTAAACAGAAGGCAATCAACGTATTACTCTTACTTCATCCACTGTCCCTGCGGACACCATGTTTTTTCCCAAATCATATGCCTGGAAATGGCAAGAGCCATTTCCATTCACTTTTTCTAAGAAAGGAGAGACTTTCATGAAGAAAACTTGTGAAGTTTTTCTCCCAAAAGTTCCTCAGGGCATCAGAAATGGCCTCCCCAATGTTTCTGATGGGTCCGTCTCTTCTTTTTTGGACAAGTTGTGTTAAACCCTTCCTAGCATATGAAATGATTCATCAAGCACAGGAGTCCAGGTGCCTAGAATTTTCATTTATCAGAGGATCGAGGGCAGAGTTTGAGTCCTCCAGCAGTCCTCATCGGGTGGGTTGATGTGATGTGGTGTAAGTTATGGAGCCTGTGGAATGGCATGGTTGACACCGGGTCCCTGCAGCTTTATTGTCACTTTCTAAGGACAGTAGCCCCCTCTTCCTTGTGCTCTGCTGCACCCCAGGAACCAGCACAGTGCCTGGTCACGGTCAGGAAGCAAAACCCCCTCTTATTGGCTTGTGTGGTGAAAAGGGCTGGAATTCAAAGAATAGGAACTAGGGATCATGCGAGGCCCAAGGTGCGGTCGGTGGGGACCGCACCATTCTGCGGTACGCAGTCCAAGTGACTGAGCGGCTCTTCCTCAGAGCCCGGACAAGCTCTGAGGAAGGAGCCACGAGTGGGGTCAGCAGGGAACTCTGGTCCGCTAATCGTGCCTCCGAGGCCTGGCCAGGCCAGCACGTCGGCTCTGGGGTCCGCTCTGCCAGAGCCTCTCCAGGAAGGCCAGAGGCAGCGGCGCGACCACCAGTCCTGGGCCTTCTAAGCGCTGGACTGGACGCTGCTCTAGGCAGCGGACCCACGGGCAGGACCATACACAGGCTTCGAGGTAAAAAGAGCCCCCGAACAGCTCACGTTCCAGCGGGACCTGCAGTCCCAAGGTCGCAAACCCACTTGGAGAAACCCACATGGGCCCGGCGCCCAAGTTCTAAACCCGGGGCGGAGCCTCGCGAGACCCAAACAAGCCCACGTGGCAGGGGCGGGGCTACAACAGTGACGTCACTGCGCGCTCGTGCGCAACCGAGGTCGCGCGTCCGTCATACCCTTGCTGGGGGCCGTAAAGCGCGGAAGGTCGCGGGCCCCGTCTTCCCCGGAACTTTTTATTCCTCAGGCCCGCCCCTCTTCCCCTACCCGCTTCCCGCTCTCCGGCCCGCGGCGACCCCCTCAACCGCCGTGCCGCGCCTCGCTTCGGCCGCCGTGTTGTTGAGCGCGGAGCGCGTGAGGCCGCTGAGGTAAGGACAGCCGTGGGGTCGCTCTGGCTCTCCCGGCCCGCGCGGCCCTCGCGCCCCGGGACCCCCGTGTTGCCCGCTTCGCGCTTGCATCTGTCCCAGAAGCGGTCCCTTGGTCCCCCGCTGCCCGTCGGCTTCGCCTTGTTCTCCTGGGAAGACGCGTCCTGGCGTCAGGACTCGGTCCACCCGCGTTGTTCGTGCCTCGGGGGCCCGCGCCGGCTATCCGGGCCTTCGCGCTGGCTCTTCCAGGTGCGCGCGTTTCAGCCGAACGCCCGCGGACCCCGCTGCGGCTGGGAAGTGCACGCCCCTGCAGCGCAGTCTGCTCCGGCGCGGCTAGCCCGGTCCCGGGTCTCTGCAGGTGAAATCGTTTTCCCGCCTTCACGCGCGTGGTCCACTTGTGCTTTGCTCACACAGACTGCTGCAGCGTCTGGCAGAAATTATCTGACGGTCTAGGCCAGGGCGGTGGGATTTCCTCCTAACGTGTGGCACTTTGGGACTGTTGTGTGTGATAGTCGGTTGAGTCGGGAATCTGCAAGCCTCTTTTGCGCGTGCATTGAAAGCACAGTGTGCAGGGCTGGGGTGGAGAGTGGGAGAGGCTGAACGGACCGTTTTCCGTGGTAGGGATTTGTGACTGACAAACGCTTGATCACCAGGTGCACTTGTTTAAAACTATAGCACCCTGGACCAAGGGATCAGAATCTCCAGAAGTGGAGCCTGGGGCTTTTGCTTTTAAATCGGTGTCTCTGGCAGTTCTGCTGAGACTCGTGTGGCAAATGTTGTGTTAGTCCACCTGTACTCACCAAAGTTTCCTTGTGACCAGCAGCCCACCTGTGCCTAATGCTGTAACTCGGGAGCTAGCTCCTCACCTTGCTGCTGTTGGTATAAGCAGATCTGAGCAGAACCAGGCTGTTCAGCAGGAGCTCCTGTCTGTATTACAGTCGTTTTCAAGAACTTTAAAACAAACTCTTTAAACCAGATGGTGTTTCATTTCTTTGTCATCTTCAGTATCTTTCTCACTGACTTTACCTCCTTTGCTGTCGAGCTTTTTTTTTTTTCTTTTCTTCTTCCCATTTTTCTGCCAAACCTGCTGGAGGTTTTCTCTGGTGTCTTCTCTGTTTATTTTAAACTCTTCTTCCCTCACCTTTTCAGTCTCTTGAAGGTCATGATAAGCACAAGGTCAGCAGTCTCTTGGTTCTTATCACCTTGAGCTTTTAACATGGTTTATTCCAATTTGAAACTCCTCTCTTGTCATGTTTCTTCTGCTACCTTTGCAATTTCATTTTTCCTCCTTGGGGATGGACCTTGGGTTCTGTCCTCATAGCTGCCCTGTCCTGGCTCATCTCCTTTTATTGGAAAGGTAGCAGGGAAGTGGTGATAAACAACAGGTTCTGTTGCCAGACTGGCAGGGTTTGAATCCTGGCTGTGCCCTCACCATGATACAGGAGGTTGGGTGAATCACTGCACATAATGTGTATCTCAGTTTCCTCAAAAGTAGAATAGAAATGATGATGATATCTACCTCGCAGGGTTGTGAAGATTCAGTACTTCTGCAGTGTCTGGCATATTGTAGCTTCCTGTAAAAATACTTTAAAAAAATTCAATTATCTCCATATCCCCCCAAATATGGGAACCTAATCTTGAACTCTCCAGTCATCAATGATATTTTTCCTGTCTCCTTTGGTCTCTGTTCTGACTTACTCACAAGCCTGTTTCCCAGCTGCTGGTGTTGAATTCCCAGCATTTAACACTGGTCCCTAGGTGAAGTTAGTTTGTCCCTGCCTTGAGAGAGGTCATTTTAGATGGGGAATAGTAGCTACCAAGTAGAGTGCTTCTTAGCCACCAATTGCCCATTTTTTCTGCATTGTGATTTAGTTTTTGTGGCGACCATGTGAGGTAGATATTTCTAGTCCAGGTAGCAGCTGAGAACACTCCAAAAGGATTCAGTAAATTGCTCAAATTCATGCTAATGAGAGGTTGGGAAATTTTCTCACTTATCTTTCTGCCTCTAGAGGCTGGATTCCCCACTGAGATACTTTTAATTATTTCAGATAATTAAAAGCCATGCTAAAATGAAAAAAGAACAAGTCTAGGGAGCTTTTGTCCAGTGTTTAAGTTTTGCCCTCAGTCCAAAGTCAGAAAGAAATGTGAACAAGCATTGAACCCTGATTAGAAAGTTTGTTTTCCACAGGGACATGACAGTTCTATTTTCTGGGTATTCTAGGATTGAGCAAATGAGTAACTTTACAAGGATAAAGGGAGCTTGGATTTTCAGTGTTCAGAGAAAAGTGTTACAATATGGAGGGGGATAACTGGAGCACCTGAGGTGGTTCATTGGAATTTAAAGTTTCAGTATTAAATCATTGTTTTTGAGTGTGTGAGGGTGGAAGGGGTTATTTTCCAGCTCTGTCTGCTGAGAAGACTCAGATAATCCACCTCAGTAGGGTGAGCACTCAGTTCCCAGATCTTGGTTTTTGAAGACATTCTAACCTGAAAAGAATCAGAGCTTCTTGAAGAAATGACTGATTCTGGGTTGAGACTAGGAAGATATAGATTAGTGAGCCTGGAGCATCTGATTGTACAAGGAAGTAAGAAGTGGTCCCTAAGTGATGGGACATGCCAAAAATACACAGGAATGAGTTTAAAAGGACTCCTGGCCAAATCTTGAATTTTTATATATAATTTTTTTGAGACACTGGGGATTGAACTTGGGGCCTGCATATGTTTGGCAAAAGCTCTACCACTGAACTGCATCCCATCCCTTTTTATTTTTGTTTTGTAATAAGGTCTAACTAAGTTGCCAAGACTGGCCTTGAGCTAGCAATCCTCCTGCCTCAGCCTCCCAGTAACTGGGATTACAGATATATGCCACCATGCCTGACTTTCCTTGAGCAGGGAAAGACTCCATCATATAAAATAGGAATTTGTGAGTCCATGTGGATAAACTAAGTACAAATTAAACTTGGAGAAAGGAAGAAGTAATGCTGGCATTCAGACCCATGCCAGGGCAACTCCAAGGTCATGCTCTTAACCATCCCTATGGCTGTTTCACTTGTGATTCTGAGGAGCTTAAGTTGGAAGACACCCAGATCTCAGGGTCTGAGGATTCTTGACTCCGTAAAGCCTTTAATGAGAACAGCCAGCTGGAGGAAAAGGCTCATCCTTTTTTTTGTTTTTTGGAGACAAGGTCTTGCTAAATTGCTGAGGCTGGCTTTGAACTTGTAATCCTCCTGCCTCAGCCTCCTGAGCCTCTGGGATTATAGGCTTGCTCTCAATACTTTTTTTTTAACATAATACATTCATTTATTTATTTTTATGTGGTGCTGAAGATGAAGATTGAACCCAGTGCTTCACACATGTGAGGCAAGCACTCTGCCACTAAGCCACAATCCCAGCCCTTGCTCTCATACTTTTAATGAAAGGCAGATGTAACTTGCATGGTGATCTGTTAGCTGTAAGGGGCAAGAGTGGTTTGGTGGTTATATTCAGAGATGCAAAGTGAGAGATTTTGAAAAGCTAGAGAGAGATAGAAAAAAAGATCAGGGAGTGGGTGCTTTTTTCACAGAGGTGGTGGTTGGTCTATTTGGGGCTAGTGTCTCCTAGAAAAAGCAATAACATTGATTATTTTTAGCAATGTAGAGTTCCCTTTAGGAACTCTACATTGGAAGTGTTGGGGTGTACATTTGAGCAGAAACTAAAAAGTATAACAGGGTTATGGGCTAAGCAGATAGTTCAGAAAGAAGAGCAAAAATGTTCTATGTCACCAAGCGTGGTGACACATACCTGTAATCCCAGTGGCTAGGGAAGCTGAGACAGGAAGAGCTCGAGTTCAAAGCCAGCCTCAGCAAAAGTGAAGTGCTAAGCAACTCAGTGAGACCCTGTCTCTAAATAAAATATAAAATAAGGCTGGGGATGTGGCTCAGTGGTTGAGTGCCCCTGAGTTCAGTCCCCAATACCACCTACCCAAAATGTCCTGTGTCCAAATTGTTGTAGGACAGGTAACCCCTGGATATCAGTGGAGTGGCAGTTTAGTATATGGCGTGAAATCATCTCCAACCTCGAGGACTTTTGTTGAAGCAATGTTGTCTGGGGTGATGTCATCTCCAGTGGTAAGATTTTGGGTCAGTGTGATGTCATCTAGGAATTGGGTGTCCCTTTCAAGCAGGTACCCACTTCAGTTGATGTGGGCCCTAGCATTTATCATAATTGGTTGAAACTATGGTCTCCTGGAGAGTGTGGGCACTGGATATAGATCATTGGAAGCATCCAACCTAGTAATTAGACCAGCGGTCAAGAGAATTGTGTGGGTTTGTTTTTTGGTACAAGTTTTTCTTCAAATGGGTTCCCTAACATGAGCAGCTGCCTGATATGTGGCACAATGAGACCCATGAGTAGGTATGCCCTTAATCTGGCCTCTAACCTCAGGTCAGATGGGATTGAGATGGATAATTGAATAATTAGGTTAAGTCTGGGCACAAACTTTGAGTTTATTGTATTGGAATTTGGAAAGTTATTTGAGGACATAGTTTTTTTTCTACTTTAACTATTTGGGTCCTATCAAAGACATAAAAATTCTATTGAATGCCTCTATCAGAAGTGCAGCATGGTGTATTGTAAGTGAAATGTGTGCCTTGCTTACTATTAGTAATGTCTGTAACTAATGGGATTAAGGAGTGATCTACCAAGGTTTTGCATTGAGGAATTAGGTTTTATGTGATTTTTTTCCCCCCATGGTACTGATATTTAAATCCAGTGGTGCTTTGCCACTGAGCTACATCCCCAGCCCTTTTTATCCTTTATTTTGAAACAGAGTCTAAGTTGCTGAGGCTGGTGTCAAATTTAGTAATCCTTTTTAATATTTATTTTTTTAGTTGTAGTTGGACACAGTACCTTTATTTTTAATTTTTAAAAAATGTTTAATTTTTAGTTATAGGTGGACACAATATCTTTATTTTATGTGGTGCCGGGGATTGAACCCAGAGCTTCTCACGTGCTAGGCAAGCGCT